GTGTCGAGGACAAATTGACGTATGTGCTTTGTTCATGTTGTTTACTCTAGTTACTCTCACAATTCTATTGAAATATGCCTCATTGTATCGCGAAACATTGCTAAGAAGAAAGGGCTGTACCCGTTCAACCAAAGAGGTGCGTGGCAACCAGTGCTGTTCTCAATACAGCTTTTTCTAACACCACAGTGTCGAATTCCCTGTGTAAACATATGCAATCCAAGTCATCTGTGAACAGTTTATTTTCAAGCTCTTCAAGCTCATGACAACATATGTTCATAAGAGGATTGTCCATGGCTACACACCGATCGCAAGTACACCATTCATGTACAGGTCTCCCTACTCGCCCCCCCGAAATCAATTGCACGAGTAAAGGGATCGTCTCCAGCAAGATCACCGTGCTGTTCATCCTCATCGTCACTGTCCCTGGATTCCTGACGGTTCTTGCCACTTGGCTGTATGGCTGAATTCCCCCATCCAATCTCTCCACATTGCTCAACACTTCTTCCTCGGCTGACGAGTCCGAACTCAAATACTCCGCCATGTTTTCGTCGAATGAGCTGTGCGTGTGTTTACAAAGTGAACGCATCGATGACGTCACGACCTAGTTTTTCGGATCATGTGACTACTGAAAATGGCCAAAATGGCAGCTGCCTGACGGAATATACAGGTTTTGATAAAAAAGAGCTATAAAATCATTATTTACCGGGGAATATCGCTGATTTCTTCAGGGTATGGTTTAAACATAATGTTTCACTAAATACTGAAGTTTTTATTAACTATCTAATGACTTCCTTTAAAAGGATGACCTTATTTTACCAACCTCAAACAGAAGCCTTTGTTCTACAGTATTATCCCACTTAATGCTTAACACTTCTCTATTACGTTTTAACTTGGAGGCTACGATTAGCATCGTTAGCACATATGTAGCTACCACTAGCTTACTACATGCTAACCCTTAACATCCATTAACGTTAGCTGACTAAAAACATAAGCAACACATAAATAAAGTACTCAAATTTCACTTACCGCAAAACTGCATTCATGCACCGTCTGTTTTATGCCCCGGCCACACGAGGACGAAAACGGCTAAACGCATAGGATTAACACAAACGCAATCGCAAAAAAGCTTCCGTCCACACGCAATAGTCATCCGGATAGTGTCTGTCCACATGAGACAGCTCCGTTTAGCTCCAACCGCTGGAGAAGCTGCAGTACATATGCAGGAGCCTGTACGTGGCGCTGTAACTTCCTCCACAAAAGCAGCGAAGAAGCATGGTTGTCATGGTTGCCCTTCTGTTTATTCTCCGCGGTGGGGGCCGAGGGAACCGGGCAGAGTTTTTCGCCAGTCAACGTGTATTAAAGTTTAAATCTTCCGGACAAAATTATAAAAGTGCCGGTCAAAGGTCTTCTTTGTTATTTATTGAGCTTTAAACAAATGAATAACGAATCTATACAATATAATAATAAAATACATGGAGCCTCTCTTTTTCCTCCCTCTCTTCGGACAGCGCCAGTGTCTGTTTCATGCAGCAGCTGATCCAGTAATGAGTGACAGTAAAAATAAACATATTTATAACTAGTTTAGGTAGTTTGAGAGGTATCTCCGTCCTGTCAGATTAGACTTCACTCGCGTTTATGTCCATATCGAGAGAAAGATAAATAATCTGAATTCAGTGTGTCGTTTACTTTGATGCGGGGTTGAGCAGCAGAGGTGGGGAGAGGCGGGGCTATTGCCTCATCATTATCACAAAATGATCGTATAGGGCGTACACACGGAGCCGTTGGACCCCCCAGAGCGTTGCGTATGCCGTTCTATCCACCTTGGGACCCGTTATCGTTTCCGCAGTCGTTTAGTGCCGTATTCGGTCGTCCTCGTGGGGCCGAACGGTCTATATAACACTAAACAGTAACGCAAACGACCGTTTTCATCCTCGTGTGGCCGGGGCATTAAACGCGGAGCGAGTCACAATAGTACGATATAAGCATGAAGAATAGTCCACAAGGCAACAGCACAACAAACACGGCAGAGTTCAAGTTATGTTCCCCGGATGAGCTGAGCAGGAAGAGCCCCTGTAGCATCACGGAGCTGCTAGCAGAGCAGAAAGCTAACAGCAGCAGTCACTGGACAGACCTGTCACTCGATGTGACCACGCCCTAATTTATGCATAACTTTAAGGCTTAAAGGTGGGGTAGGTAAGTTTCAGAAACCGGCTCGAGATACACTTTTTGTTATATTCCATGGAATGCTCTTAACATCCCGATAGCAATGAATATCTTAAGTGCTTTGACAAAAAATCCATAAAAAAATGTCATCTGTGGAAGCCGTAATACTGTAAAAAGTACGACCAATCATTTTAGCCGGCCCGGCTAAACGGATTGGATTGCCGCCCTGTCTGTCAGCCTTCCATCTCGTGCACGCACAAATGTATCTCGTGCCCTCATTGGGCGTGCCGTCATTGGGCGTGCATTGCAGCAGTACTTCAATGACTCGCCAGCAACAGGCGGCCACTTTCACCAGTCTGCTGACGTCATGTGCGCGTTCATGTGTGTTGGAGGAGGTGCTCTGTAAGGAAGTCTGAAGGAAGGGGCGGATTCTTTTCGGCTGTGTACTTTCAAATTTTAGTGCACTCGAGCCGGTTTCTGAAACTTACCTACCCCACCTTTAATATAACTTAAACAAATTATAAATTGTAGTAACTCATAAATAAATGGGAATGTGTTTTACACTTTACAATAAAAATTGGTAAAAGGGAGCCTTAAGGCTCAACTCAGTGAACAACAAATACCAAGGATGTTGGCTGATGAAGAAGACGAAGTAAGCTAGATATCCAATATAAGGCTTAGTCATCTTGCCAAATAGTGAGCCTGTGTTGATGTCTATGTTAGAACTGGTTTATAAATGGTTCTTAATGATTAATAAAGCGTTTATAACCTAATTAATAACCTCATTATAAACCCTGTATGAATCCTTTATAAGGGTAGTCTTATTGTAAAGTGGTACCCAACAACCAATAACACGAGGGAAAGAAACAAAAAGGATAATGGGGCCTCTTAAAATGTTGTGGTGTATTCTAAAACGTTTAAGTTTAACAGTTTCCTTAACTTTCATTGGAGAAACATTTGTTTTTCATTGTTGTTATATGAATGAACATATTTTATGTTTTAATTATTGCAAACATAATTCTCTAATAAAGGAATACATAATTTAATAATTTAATACAAATGAGAGGGTCTAATTGTCAGGTCCCCAAAAAAAACATTTGTATTTATAATATCCAAATCTATGCGTGCTGCATATTGATTATTGATTTGAGCTGTCAAGTGCTTATTTTGAAGATATCCAAATATGGTGACAATCTTCCAAGCTGTCAGAAGTTCAGTCTCCACCTTGTTTACGGCTGTTTGTCTCGAAGAATCATTTGAACCGATTCTATTTTAATAAACAAAAAGCCGTGAACATTAAAACTTTCAATCTTCTGTCAGAGTCGACAGGAGAGAGGAGCAGCAGCACTCTCTGTCGTCACACTTGGCCCCAGGCGGAGGCTTTTATCTATCAAACTTTACCACACCAGGGGGTCTGCTGCTATTTTAGGCCTCCAATAATGCTTTTTTTCCTGCCTAAATTTTCCTGAAGTTGGTGTTTGTTGCTGAGCAGCTAATGCCAAAACTCACACAGCTACACACACACGGTGACTGGCTGGAGGAGTTGTGTTTGTTGCCTGGGATGGAGGTGCTGGCTTCAACACTAACAGACTGAGGAGAGGGGGGTGGGGGGGGGAGGCACCATCGGGGCCCCGCTCTGTTAAACCACTTCACTCATTATGAAAACCTGCAGACACAGATCTGGTACTACAGACCAGCCTGCTGAATGTTATACTTTTATATAAGATAGACTGAATCTCAGACAGAATGTGGGCAGATCAAGTGATAGAGAGGGTTTTAGAAAAAAAAAACAAGAATGAAATCGATGTATTATGTTGGATTTGCAAAAAATTATTGAAAAAAATTATATTGCATTTTGGGGTTCTCCCTTCCCTGTAGTGTGTTATATAGGTTTTTGTGCATGTAAATGGTCTGCAGAGGCTAAAATCCCTGTGTTCTCTCCAGAGGGAGTTTCTCTCCCACACACTCCCAAAACTGACCCAGGAAGACCACAGATTCTATACATTTGAACACCCACAATGCAATGCAAGGCAAGCTTATTTATATAGCACTTTTCAACACAAGGCAATTCAAAGTGCTTTACAACAAATAAAAGACATTAAGAAAATGGCATTTAAATCAGTCATTAAAAAGAAAAGATAATAAAATAAACATTAAAAGAAAAAATACTTGGATAAAAGTTACAGTACAGTCTAAGATGTAAATAGTTCAATTAAAAGTAGCGGCAAAAAGAAAAGTCTTCAGCCTGGATTTAAAAGTAGTCAGAGTTGCAGCGGACCTGCAGGTTTCTGGGAGTTTGTTCCAGATATTTGGAGCATAATAACTGAACACTGCTTCTCCAAGTTTAGTTCTGACTCTGGGGACAGAAAGCTGATGGAGTGATCATAATTTAGTATGTAGTATTGAACCATACATTTGATTATTGTGGCAATTAGAAGAGAGAAGCACTTATTTTGATATCTAAAAACCTTTGAAAACGGGTCAAACAGGAAGGTTCAGAAACTTCAGCTTTGAAGACGTTTCATTAGAAAGCAAACAGCATTCAACATGTTTGCTAGAGCTCAAGGATAAACACAGTGTGTGTTTGTGAGTATACAAAACAACTCCACAGGTCACCTTTAACTTTAACATTACATACATATTCTATTTCTGACATACCTTTAGCTTTTCAGAGAATTTTCTTTGATCAGAACACTCCGGGCTTGAAGGACTTCTCAATAAACAGTTTTAACATAAAATACAAAAAGGGATCACATAATGTGAAAAGAAAAACAACAATTCAACCAGAACCACATCTATAAAATAATAACAGCTGACAAACCTGGCAGCTCTCTTACCGTTTATCCAGTCAGCCTCCCAGATGTGTCATCTGTCATCTTCCTCTCTCTGTCCAGGAGCAGATCCCGCCCCCTCCTCGAGTGTCCGTCCTCCAGCCAGCTGCTGAACATCTCCCGCACTCCTCCCCCGACTCCTCCGTTCCGTCCCCCGTTCTTAAACTCCACCAGGTTCTGCTGCCTCAGTCTGTTGGAGTCAGTCACAGGTTAAGATACAGAAACTCAGAGATGCTCATATTTACTAAAACATGTTCGAATGTTAAATCATTACTGGTGATTGATGAAAACGCTACTAAACCATTAAGATCCAGAAACAGAAAGGTGCTTATCACATGACATGTCACTTGTCAGACGCTTTTATCCAAAGCGACTCACATACTCAATACTGTGGGCAATCCCCACAGGAGCAATTTGGGGTGACGTGTCTCAGGGACACAACGACATGCTGACTGCAGTGGGGTTTGAACCTGTGCCCCTCTGATCCCAACACCAACGCACTAGTCTGCTGCGCCACACACAGTATTGTATCTTACGATAAGGATAAGTTGATATAAAACTTTTTTTCAAAATACATACAGACCAGTGTCCCCCTATCCTAAATTAGAAATTGTCTTTCGGACCACTATGCTTTCTTAAACAAATTAGGTGGCACTGTAAAGTTAAGACGCAACCAATCTGTCATATATTTAATTCTAGCAGATTAAGGAAAAAATATCTATCAAATAATATTTGAAATCTGTTTTGATTAATTTTTGTTTTATTAACAAAGGGAACAGTCATCATGTTCTGTTATTTGAGATACTAAAGCTCACAATCAGAATAAACAAAAGTGGTTCATAATTACAAAATAATTACATTCTGAAGGACTACATTCTCTTCGTGCCTCAATTGTGTTTAAGCTAGGACAAACTTCATGTCTGGGTTTACATTTTTGGAAAATAAATTACAAAATAATACTTCATTAATTAAAAGGTCACAATTTACTGTTAACCTTTGTTATCTAAAGTAGATTTCAGAATTGTTTCATTGGATTTACTTTTAAAAAGCAGCAATAATGACTGTAGAAGAACCATGCCTTCCTGTCTCATTAATTTTTAGTTGTCTGTTCATTGTTCTTTACAGAGTGCGTTTTGTTGTGTACAGAGTTTATAAAACCAACAAGAACCAGAAGGTTGTCAGTATGCCGTCAGTGCAGGTTCATTCCGTGGTGCTTTCCATTCCAGAGTTGACTCATGGGAAAAATTAACTCTTGCCTAAATGATTGTGGAGATATTGGTTTCCAACCTAATGGCTCTGTTATTTAGCCAAAGATCTCCCAGGCTCCTGGAAGAGAAGGCAGACTAAATAGAGTCGCTGGTTAATGTCCTGAAACAATGTTAATGTGGCAAAAACAACACAAAACTCACTGAGAGGAAGCAGGAAATGTGTTTGTTACGCACCCCAGAATAGGTGAGTAAAAACAGAGGAGGTTGTATGCTATATTATATAAATTAAATTGACTTGACTGTTTTCATGTGACATGCTTGGCTAGAAGCACTGCATCATATTAATTTGCACGAGTGTTAGGGTTCCATTAATCTAACCCCACCAATATGTCCAGTTTAACGGACAAGTTTAGGAGATGGATATCCCTCATTGTCTGCATTTATTTAGATGTATGATATGTCTCTCTCTCGTCATTTGTTTGCAAAAAGACAGGAAGCCCATATTACATTGCTTGCAACCTTGTTTGACCTTGTAACCCTTAAAGTCCTGGTAAAGTAAAATCAAATATTTGTTTCTAAACGCATTAATACATGTAAGTAAAGAGCTGAACATGTGAAAAGACTCTGAATATTGTCGTTGTGGAGTTAGACCATGAAACAGTTTTTCATAATTCATGTGTTTTTGATTTTTTTTGGGCGAGCCAAAATCAAGGTTGATGACTCACAATAGATATTCTTAACATAACCCTTCCCAGAACTCCATTTCTATACTGGAATGCAGACCATCAGTGGATGGGCAGTTTAAACTATTTCTTACCACAGTCGATGGTGTACCGGCCATTTTGCCATCCCATCGATGGGCAAAGGTCCGTCATAAAGTCCAATGTTTACAGTGGTTATCGACCCTAACTGTCTTTTCACCCCTTCTGCTTGCCTGTCATTCCCCTGTGTTCGAGAATCTCCAACTTATATTTAAGTACTTCAGACAAATGTTTGGAATAAGTGTGACAAAGAATTTGAGAGAACTGTTACTACTCAAATCAGAAAGGCCCAGAGAAGTAAACAAAATACATATAAAAAGTGTTTAAAATTATGGAACCAGTACCTGCCAGCAAGCCGGTCGTGGAGCTCATCCTGCTGTTGACTGCTGAGGCTATGGGCGCGCTGATCCATCAGCCAGCCCAACTCAACCTCCAACATCTTACTGCTGTGGTTGTTTGTCAGGGCTCCTTCTTGACAGCGCTGGAGGATGTTGGGGGGAGAGTTTTTGGGTGAGTACACAGGCTGCCCCTGCCCTCCATTCACAAAAAGTTCTGTCAGCTCCATGTGGCCGCTCTGCAGCCGGCTGTCGTGGAACCAGCGGGCAATTTCGGCGCGTCCTGTCCGACTCTCCATTTGGCTGATCTCCTCAGGGGAAGGCCACCGCGTTTGAGCAAAATCGTCGTCGAGGAGGGCCTGGGATCTTCTGTCTGGAGGCACTGAGCAGGAATTAGGGTTGGGGATGGAGGGTGCAATGATGGGCATGGAATGCGAGGGAGTCAAAGGGCTTTTAAGATGGCCCACACCAGTGCTTGGCTTGTGAATCCCATTTAGCTGTAGGGTTTGGTGTTGTTGTTGATGTAGTCGTTTCTTAGTGATGGCAGCAATGCCACCGGTGCCCATCCTCTTAGTGCCCATGGAGTTAAGAAGGGCTTGTTCCAGGTTGTCGCGTAGTGCACGGCGTTCCACAAACCAACTCTCGATTTCCTCGTGAGACAAGTTGGTGCTGCCCGCCAGATTATCCACATCATTAAGAGTGGGAAAGCCATTCCTCAAGAAGTTCTCCTCCAGTATCTTCAGCTGTTCCGCTGTCTTTCCTTTCATCCTTTCCAGCAAGGGGAATTGGGTCAGGACTGAGGACTTTTGATGAAAGTCTGGTTTCAGGACTCCAGCCAGCTCACCACCATCCAAATGTAGGACACCATTGTGCTGAGCCAGGGAGTTGTGATTGTGGGACCATTTTCCGTCTGTACGAGATGTCCCGTTGGCCTCTGCCAGAGGATAGAGTACTTTATCTCCTCTGGGGTAGCTGGATTTCCAATCAAATCCTTGTTGCTCTTTTAGTTTCTTGCTATCGAAGGGAAACCCTGGAATCTGGGACAGGGCTTTAATAGGAGCCCGAATTGACTGGATAATGGTTGACCTTCTTATCTGTTGGCCATTGAGTGGTGGGGAGTTTGGCAGCTTCTGATCAGAAGCTGCCAAAGCATGAGTATAAAGGTGCTTTTCTTTGGAAGTGATAGGCGAAGTTATAGGAAAAAGTAAAGGGTTTTGAAATGAAGGCGCAAAGATAGGCGGAGGAACTATCAAGGGCCTTGTTAAAAATTCTGGAAAGACTAGGGAGGGCAGGGACACCACTGGCTTTGTTTTGGTGTTTCCTAACGTAGAGAGAATCTTCCCTTTGGACAACAAAGAAGATGATGATGAGGGCGGTGGCATTAAAGGCACAGTTGAGGATGGCCACCTCATCTCAGAGGTGACCAGAGGAACTGCTACAGGTCTCCTCGTCTCCATTGGGACAGGGGGCGGAGCCATTGGGAGGCGGTCTTTTGGAGGAGGGGGAGGGGGAGGAGCCATGAGGCCCCTGTCTTTAGCATTGCCAGAATGGGGGGCAACTGCCATTATGGGCCGTTTAGCCTCCGGGCCAGACACTGTCATTAGATGTGTTGGCAAAGATCGTTTAATAGCAAGGCTGGAACTAATTGCAACTTCACCGGGAGAAGTTGTGGTGGTGACTACACTCAACCCATTGGACGTAGTGGTCCGGACGTAACTTGTGTGTCCGACTGTGGTGTGGACAAAGGTCTGCTGGGTGGATTTGACAGACGGTTGAGCGGCAGTAAACGTGTGATGTGCAGGAGGGATGGAGCCATTGAACATCTTTTTCCTGGATTCTTCCACCTCCTCTGGGGACCAGGTGATGCCTTGCTTCAGCCGCTGGGTAGTGAACCAGACCTTGATCTGATCCTCCGGGTGCTTGGAGGCAGCCGTCAGCCACGACAGCTCAGCATGCGTTGGGTAAGGGAACTTGTTAAAGGACGTGATTAACGTTAAATTGTCATCTAAAGAAGGGTTATATTTGGTGGTGTTCAAGGGAACAGCTATTTTTGGTACAGATTTAAAGTTAGGCGGACGCTGGAGCATTGGGGTGACATGCGAGAGCCCTTGAAGGATATTGGGTTCGGGGATGATCACTGTTCTGTTGATGTTGACTGCTGTGATTTGATTCTTCTGAGTCTGGCTTTTCAGTTTCCCCCCTTGATACAGTGACTGGATATTGTCGGGGATTTTCACTGTGGTTGATATGCATGGTGGAAACATAAAGCTGCTGTTGCTGTTGTCCTGTTCATTTGACATTATGCATACAACTGAATTGTCCTTGCCTTCGATTGTCTGTTCTAAGATAGTCTGATTGTTCATTTTTATCCGCTTGAACTTAAAATGTGTCTCGCCCGGGTGCTGGCTCTCGTTGTGCTCTGTGAGCGAGTCAAACTTCTTGGTGTTGAAGTTGCAGACAGCACAGAGGTACAACGGATTGAGAATGACGTTAGGGTGGCTGGAGTCTACGTGATCTTTAAAGTCATTCAGGTTCTGTGTAGAAAACGGGCAGTATTTGCATTCATAGCCTCTGGACTCTTTTTTCTGAGGCAGCGGGTCAGAGTCCACCTCTTCCCTGTCCTTCTCCTCTATGGTTTCTTCATCGTCAATGACAGGGGGTTGGTCTTTTTCTCTCAACTGCTCCGTTTGTTCTAATGGCTCAGTATTCTGGGTTTCCACTGTTTCTGGAAACGTCTGCTGGTCTGGTTTCTCTGAGTTCTCCTGCTGGAGGTCTTCTGCAGTTTCAGATGATTCTGATTGTTCTTTTTCTGTCGCATAGTTGTCCGTCAATATTTCCATATCCATTACCTCATTAGGGTCATCTTGCTCTTCATGCACGACTCGGACCATGCAGGGGGTGGAGGACTTTCTACGACTGGACATGATGGTTGCTGCTGGTGGTGTTAATAATGGTTGTGCTGGTTGTGCTGGTGTTGCTGATTGCGTTGAAGATACTGCGGTTTTTGGCTGCTGCTGGTGCTGGCCGAGGACGTCAGTGAGTTGGTTTATGAAAGGAACTTACTTGGGTGGATTGGAGCTGATGGCTGTGGATACTGGTAGGTGGGAGGAGTTTAATCTCCAGTGTGCAAGTGGGAGGGCGAGAACCGGCTGACTGTGCCGGCCCAGGACCGGTTGTGCAGTGGCGTCTCCCGCTCACTGGCAGTGTCAGCTAGCGACCTGGGCGTCATGGGAGGGCATCACAGACAGCAGCGGCTTTCAAGCTGCGCAGAGACAAACACAGAGAGAGAAAATGACATGTTAATATTGTTTGTGTTCAGTGAACTGAGCTGAAGCCACTTGGGAAAAGACAGTCATGTTGATATTGTTTGTGTTTGAAGTAATGTGCTGCATTCAACCAGAATAAGACAAAGAATGGGAAAAATGCATGATGGGCAATGACAGAAGGGTAACAAATAGATAATTTGCACTTTTGTTAACAGCAAAATCAGCTTTTGGTTCTGTTTTTTTGAGAGATGTCAGTTCAACCCAGTATAAAGCATAACACACATCAACATCAACAGAGATTGTAATACTCACTGGGGTCAACTGTACCAAAAATATGCGCAGTTTTTGTACTATTATGGAATACCATTTTCTTCAAAGACAAGTTACAGTAGGTGTAAAGTAATACACTTAAAAACCCTGAAAACTTACATTAAATCTTAAGTATTTTTCTACAGCATGAAATACTTTTCACTGAAATAGCAGCAGCTTCAAACCAAGAGTTCATACCCTGTTTTTCTGCTTCATCTAGACTGAATGAATCACTCGATCAAAAGTAAATTCAGCTGTAATAGATCATCATCCAAATTGTTTTTAATCAAGTTAAATACAGAAGATTTTCTCATTCAAGTATCTCATACGGTGATGATTTGCTGATGATCAGTCATATCAATCAGCAGAAATAAGTTTGGTTAGTTTTCTTCCATCATAAAATACAGTGAAATACTTTTTGAATATTTATTTTTATATCTGTGGAGAGCAGATTTGGGATTCATGATGTCCCCAGTAAAAAAAAGAATTTTTTAAAGAAAGAGGTTAAAAGACAGAGTCAGGAAAATCAGCAGAAGAAGACAGACAGGAAGTAAACACTAACGGGATCAGCAGTAGAAGACAGACAGGAAGTAAACACTAACGGGATCAGCAGTAGAAGACAGACAGGAAGTAAACACTAACGGGATCAGCAGTAGAAGACAGACAGGAAGTAAACACTAACGGGATCAGCAGTAGAAGACAGACAGGAAGTAAACACTAACGGGATCAGCAGTAGAAGACAGACAGGAAGTAAACACTAACGGGATCAGCAGTAGAAGACAGACAGGAAGTAAACACTAACGGGATCAGCAGTAGAAGACAGACAGGAAGTAAACACTAACGGGATCAGCAGTAGAAGACAGACAGGAAGTAAACACTAACGGGATCAGCAGTAGAAGACAGACAGGAAGTAAACACTAACGGGATCAGCAGTAGAAGACAGACAGGAAGTAAACACTAACGGGATCAGCAGTAGAAGACAGACAGGAAGTAAACACTAACGGGATCAGCAGTAGAAGACAGACAGGAAGTAAACACTAACGGGATCAGCAGTAGAAGACAGACAGGAAGTAAACACTAACGGGATCAGCAGTAGAAGACAGACAGGAAGTAAACACTAACGGGATCAGCAGTAGAAGACAGACAGGAAGTAAACCCCAACAGGAACATGGTAGGGGCTATGGCAGTGTGTAAAGACTGGTTCATGGAAAATGAAGAAAACTATAACTTTAAGTCAATAAAATAATGTTTAATCAATATGATGAGTCAAGTCGTTGGTTTATTTAGTATGTGGCCGTATATTAAGCGGAATAATGTGCAACGAGGCGGTCATTAATAAAAACACACAGGGTGATCATTGAGCATGTGATTTTGATCAAATTGAACATTAGCCCTCACATATCCGATATTTGGGAGAGAAACTATGTGAGCGCATATGGGATAGACATTGATAAATAGATGTTCCATAATAATCTACGCTCTGGGACTGTGCTACTTGTTGAACAACTCTACATCGAAGTTGGGAGGGTTACAGTATTGATGAGCAACATGACACTTTACTTGCCCGCCGTTCCCCGTTACTTTAAAACCCACGCCAAGTTTTTATTTCCACGCTCGTCCTGATCATTAGAGATACTTCATCAGGCCCAGCTTCATCAGACACTGGCAGATGACGGCGTCTAGGACAAAGCAGAGGCCAGAAGTTATAAATGAAGCCACTCTGACTGACAATTTGGAGCGAGAAGTGCCACTTAATCAGGACACAGTGTTCCAGGCCAATCACATGTAAATGCAATACATTGAAGAGTCCGCAGCAACTACAAAAAACTAAAAAGTCTCCAAACCCCATTAAAAAGACATTAAGCGTCTAACAAAGGTTCGGGCAAAGACAACTTCACAGGATAATTACCCTGTAATCATGTAATAAGAGAGACTCAGTGATGAGATCTCCTGACAGCTATCATCCACACAATGGAAGAGAGAGGTACAAATGGATGGAGAGGCAGAGGAGGAAGAGGGTGGAGGGATAACAGGTTGTAAGGAATGGGAAAAGTTCAAATTAAAGGAACAAAATGCAGGTAAAAGAGAGAGAAAGAGAGAATGGGAAACAGTGGAAGAGCAGAGATAAAGGGGTGAGGAAAAGGGGAGAGTCTAAAAAAGTTCCAAGCTGATGAAAGAAAACAGGCACAAAGCAGAAGACATGTTAAGTAGGCCACGGCCTGGCAGACAGAAAGAGAGAGAAGACAGTGAAAAGAGAGAAGAAACAGACGGATGAGAATAGGAAGTAGACAAACATAAAGAGGGAGGAGGAGAGAGGGCCAGACAAAAAGGAGACACAGAGAGGAAAGATGAATAGAAAACAGACAACAGAATCAAGCGCAGATGAAGAGGAGAGGAGGAAGAAAGCATTTACATTTGATAGAACATCTTAACGGACATATCATAAAAAAGATAAAATTGGGTTCTGGTGCAGTTTATCAATGCAAAGTTGAAGCTTTGCCCGATCGTTTTGGGGGAGGAAAAACATTTTTTTTCAGTGAAATTGAAAGCATTTCAACATTTAATTAGTATTGGGCAAGCTGTTATTTGTCCCCTGTGTCTCTTAATGTTGGAAATAGTTCATGTTTTCACAGCCTCTATCAGCTTCTCACCATCCACACAGGACAAATATTTGATAGTTTCAGAGAAACGAGAGACCTATTTGAATTTTTGCATTGTGATATGAGGCAGAACTAACCCTATGTTATTATAGATCTTATGCATTTACATTGCTGTTTACTGCATTCTTCAAATAATGAGATTCCAGTAAGCATTTCAATAATCCCGCAGACAAGAGCAGGACATGATATATCGTTTAATTGATTGACAGAATATACAATTGGTGTCCTAGCCAATTTGAGCTATTAAGCCTTTTGACAACCAACTAAAATCAGAGTCTTCACACTTTTGGATTTGCAAAAAAGACGGAAAACGTTCCTAAACCGCATCTCAAAGGGACCCAAAGACACACGGAGAGTTAAACTATTAAATCATTTTTCAAGCATTTCACTGCTCACACTCTCTCCGTCTCTGGGGGGGGGAGCACACAACCTGAATAATCTCAAAATGATTTTACGGCCTGGATTAAAGTCCTGGATCGGGTCGTGACTTGGAAACAAGAAGACCTGTAGCACTCAGCATCGAGCATCTAACTCTGGCAAGAATGGAAAGTTGGCAATAAAGTTTGGCCACATTCTTAGGATTGTTAACTGTTCACTTCCTTATCTGAATGATCAAACTTTTTTAACTCGAGAACATATGGTAATCAGGCAAAGCTGTGCATTTAAAGAGGACATCATATGATCATTTCAGGTTCATATTGGTGTGCCTCTACTGTGACATGTTTCCATGCTTTAATGTTCAAAAATTTATTTATTTTTCTCCGAAAAATATGTTGCGGAAGTAAACAAAGGAGTCCAATGGAGGCGTTTCAGACTGGGAGAGTGTGTGGGAGAGAAGCACAGGGATTGTAGCCTTTGCAGACCATTGACATGCACTAACACCTACAGTATAGAACACACAACAGGGAAGGGGAAAGCCAAACAACCACAATAGGGGCCCTTTACCTCATATGTAGAGTCACTAGGCAAGGCAAGACACGTTTATGTATATAGCACCTTCCAACCCAAGGCAATTCAAAGTGCTTTACAATATGAACAACTATTATACTTTCAAATGACTGTGGCCATAGCTCAAAGGTGATATCTACATTGCTCCTGCAGATTTTTATTTACTAAAGCCAGTAATGTTGTTTTCTCTAGACCTCCAGAACATGTATTGACTTTGCTACACTAAAAAGCAACTGTATCAAGACCTGTTTGCTGATTTATGATCATGTCCATTCTGCACCCACTCCAAGACATTAACTTCTCTGTGGTGGAATTGTATTTCATTCTTCCACAGTGGTGGAAATGATGGTTTCACACATCGTCTCTGGTTGTTATCCAGACTTCATAGAGCCACAGCTGAATACGCAACTCTTGTTTGAAGCTTTTGTTAAGTTGCAGAGGATAAAATCAACAGATTCTGAAAAAGTCAAGGGGGCATATTCAAGCTAAATAGATGTTAAGTTGCTCTTAACAGTCTCCATTGACTCCTATTTAGATAAAGTTAAATAGCTTGCAGCCTCAACCAATACCTAATAAATATTGCAATATCCATTCATATCTTCCACGTTTTCACATGTTTTATTGCTTATAAATACTTTTTCCAGAGATGCAGCTGCTGCCAGAGGTGGCTTGGGAAAAGAGATATAAAACCAGAGGAAAAGGAGTGTAGGAGGAGGTAAAGAGCAGTATAGGAAGAGGTGGAGGGAGACGAGTGTGCAGGAGCCAAAGAAGAAAGTACTGCAGATCACCAGAAACAGGAGAGGCCAGGAGAGTAGGTGGAGAGACAGAAAGTAGACCAAAGGAGGGATATGGAAGTAAAAATCAAGGGTTAACCCTGTAACCCATATCAAAAATAACCAGCATTGAATATTAATAATATTTGCTCTGTATGCACATACCACTTTTACACGCACTGGTTCCTGCACATGTAACCCTTGTATGGCGTTCATATTTGTGTTACTCAGCCAGTGTTCGTGGGTCAGGTGGACCCGCTGCCTTTTTGGGCTTCAATTCAACACAATCAAACTGTTTTATGTTAA